ATGGATCATTTGCCTCCAGTACACACCTTGACCAGGATCAAACCCGAAACCTGGGTAAGTGTGCCCTGATTGGTTAGGCTCTAGGGTTCTATGTGAGATATAAATAAAGAGAACTGGCACACGGTCCTAGATCTCCAGGGTCTCACAGTTGGGGTTTTCTTTTGTTTTGTTTCTTCTATCTTTTTAATGCAAATATAAGCTATTTTGAAACTTGAAATTTGCATGTATTGTGTTGTCTTTCAGTGGAGATCTATATTGACTGTGCCCCATACTCCTAAGATATCTTCCAAGGAGCATTTTCTCTATAAAGCCCCTGTCAATAAATTGACCTACTTAGCTCTCCCTTTTATGAACTTCTATTGCCCTTAATTTCAGTAACATGTGATTATATGTTGTTCTCTATCAAAGTTTTTAACTGCTAAGAATGAATATAAGTATGCTGTAGATATGGATCATTTCAGCCCTCCAGGTAGCTGAGCAGAGCCTAGAATAATAGAATCAACTACCTTACTGTGAACTTATCACTTAACCCTGCTGGGCTGTACAGATATTTTAATTTTCTGTGTGTGCCATGAAAAAGATTGGGAAGTACAGCAAGTTTAATTTGTGGCATTTTCAAATTAGAAGTAACATTAAATATTATTTAGTACAATGACCTCAGGAAATGAAAGAAGAAAGTTGGAAATGAAATATAGAAAATTTTATTTGTTTAAGGTCACCCTGATATTGATAACAGATAAAAGACATTCTAAGAATCTAAAACTGCAGGATCCTGGCTTCTGCACTTCATTTTACCACACTGCTTCTTTAATTGCCACATATGTAAATCCTGCCACTCCAACAAGACTGTAAGATTTTTGAGAATAAGGCTGTAACATGATTTATATGTATGTAGCTCTAACTTAAAAGTGAGGTGGGAAAGTATGGGCTATGGCTCAGATACTATCTAGCAGAGCAAAACCAAAGCATGCCCTTCCATTTACATATTGTGGATAACTGCTTTCATGCTTCTGATGCAGAGTTGGGTAGTTGCAAGAAATTATATGGTCACCCTGGCTGGTTTGGCTTAGAGGTTAGAGTGTAGGCCTGTGGACTGGAGAGTCTTGGGTTCAGTTCCTGCTAAGGGCACATACCTCGGTTGCAGTTTGTCCCCGGCCCTGGTTGGGTCGTGTGGGTGGCAATCACTTGATGTGTCTCTCTCACATCGATGTCTCTCTCTCTTTCTCCCTCTCTCCCTCCTGCCTCTATCTGAAGATAAATGCAAAAATGTCCTCGGGTGAGGATAAAAAAAAAAAAGAAATCATATGGACAAAAATATTTACTGTTTACGGAAAAGGTCTGCAAATCCCTGACCAAAAACAATGCTAGATCAAACACTCAATAAACATTATTAAACAAATGTGTGAAAAAACAAACACTGGGGTGGGGGTGACATTTCTGATCCCACGGTGATTTATCAAAGATATAACAGAAGAGTATGTAAACCATGAAAGCTTTCATTACGCTTAACCAAATTTGCACTTTCACCTAGAGACCAATTTTTCATATTCCACATCACAGACTCAAAGAACAAAGTTGGCAGGTACACTAAAGATCAGGTAAGTAGTTAAATCACTCAGTTAATAAATGGATAATCCAGAATAAAACCCCTTTTTAAAAAAACTGTTTTCCATTATAATCAAACAAATTCTTTTTTGATCCTCACCCAAGGATATGTTTCTGCTGATTTTTTTTTTTTTTTGAGAGAGAAAGGGAGGGAAGAAGGGTGAGAGAGAAGACTGAAAGAGAGAGAGAAATATCCAAGTGAGAGAGAAACATCAATGGGTTGCCTCCCGTACAGGCCCCAACCGGGGATCAAACCTGAGACCTAGGTGTGTAACCCAACCGCAAATCAAACCTGCTACCTTTTGGTGTACAGATGCTCCAACCAGCTGAGCCACTGGCCAAAGCTATATAATCAAGTAAATTTTAATGAAACAACTATTTTCCATTCGAGGGTGAAGTATAAAATTTGACTTTATAATGTTAGAAGTAATCTGAGTGTTTAAAAGTTTAATTCATCATAAACAATTACAGTAATGCAAAAACTTGAGCCCTGGCCAGTTTTGCTCAGTGGTTAGAGCGTCAGCCTCCGGTCCAGAGAGACCCAGGTTTGGTTCCCGCTAAGGGCACATACCTCGGTTGGAGTTTGTCCCCAGCCCTGGTTGGGTCGTGTGGGTAGCGACCTGTGTCCCTTTCACGTCGATGTTTCTCTCTCTCTCCCTCCCACTCTATCTGAACAAAATATCAAAAATAAATAAAAATAAATAGAAAAATATCCTTGGGTGAGGATTGGAAAAAAAAAAAAAATGCTGCCAATAATATTTTCATGTCATTAGAGAAACACAAATTAAGAACCCCAATGCAATATCACTATATACACATTAGCATGGCTAAGTTTAAATATAATGACACCACTACCCTGGTTGGTGTGGCTCAGTTGGTTGGAGTGTCATCCTGTGCACCAAAGGGTCCCAGGTTTGATTCCCAGGGCACATACCCATTTACCATATAAATCAGAGAAATGAAAATGTCTGTAAGACCTATATACAAAATTTCACAGCAGTTTAGTTCATAACAGCCAGAAAACAAAAATAATCCAAACATCCATCAGCCAGTAAATGGATAAACAAATAGATACACAATGGAATACTACTCGGCAAGAAAAAGGAACAGTGCGACAAAACAGACTATGCTGTGTAATCCCATTTATATTAAATTCTAGAAAAGGTAAAATAATAGTGATGGGAAAGCTAACTGGTTGCCAGAGGCCAAGGGTTGGAGAAGAGGACTGAGTGCAGCAAAGGGGTATAAGAAATAATTCTGGGATGATGGAAATGTTCTGTATCATGATTACTTTACATGACTATACATTTTTTAAAATTAATCAAATTGTACATTTAAAATTGGTGAGTTTTATTGTCAGTAAAGTTAACAGAACATTAAAGAAACAATTTTATGAAAAAAATGTTCTCCCTTGGCTCTCTTTCTCTAGTTTTCCAAAACAAACAATATAAATGCATAAAATATACTTTACATATATATTTTTCTTTTTAACATAAGAGTCTATAATCCCAAAGACACTTAATGTTCTCTGGTACAGATTAGAACAAATCACATAGTTGCATTGTTAGTTTTATTCCCAACCAGATTGTGTAATACGTGACCAAATATCCTTTTTATTTCAAAGATAACCATTATGCACATAAATACATGCTACTTTTCTTCATTTATACTTTTAATTTTTAATGATGTGAATCATTAATCTGATGATTTTGTTATTCTGATGAATCTGTTATTCTGACAGATTTAACTTCTTAAAGTGATTTACTGCCCATTACCTTTTATTTTATTATTATTTTTTTTTAATCCTCACCTGAGGACATTTTTCCATTTTTTATACAGATAGAGTGGGAGGGAGAGAGAGGAAGAGAGAGAGAGAGGGAAACATCGATGTGAAAGGGACACATCGAGTGGCTGCCACCCACACGACCAACCAGGGCCGGGGACAAACTGCAACCGAGGTACATGCCCTTAGCGGGAACCGAACCCGGGTCTCTCCGGACCGCAGGTGGACGCTCTAACCGCTGAGCCAAACCGGCCAGGGCTTACCTTTTATTTTTAATGTCATAATTAGGTAAGAGAAATTTAAAGATTACATTTCCAGACTAAATATCCAGTAAAATAAAACTTACCTGAGAAAGAAACAACACAGAATGAAAGTGACTATCATAAAACTCTTAAGGAATACATAAAAGTAAAGCCAAAAGATAGCAAGATGGTGACTTATGGGGCAGACCTGACCCACAAATGTGTTCTGTGTGGCTTGTCCAAAAATCAAGAGATGACTCATTTAAGCTTTCCAGTTTCTCTTGAAAAATTAGAAGCCCTGGCAAGACTGGGCTCACAATCCTGAATTAAAACAATCTGCTAAAGCTAAGATACTGTCCCTTTAGACAAGGCATGTACTCTTCTGTTTCTCCAAGTCCCATGACACTTGAGTTGACTCATTTTCACTACCTGCCTGGCTACACATACCTGAGTTTTCGAATCCTAACAGAACTATCTCTTCTATGTGCCTCAACTAACAACTGAGAAGTGAAGTGAGAGTTATATGAAAGGAGTTCTCCCAAATTTATTGTGTCTAGTTCTCCCATCCAGGTAAACCCCACAAAAACTGTTTATTAAGAGTAAATTAAAAGAATGCATATGCTCTACTACAGAAAGTAAAATGTATACTGAATGGTAAGTGTGTATGAAAATTATAAGCAATTTATATTTCCAAGCTAAGCATAGACACACCCAAATTCTAGAACTTTATTCATTACCTTTATTAATGTAAGAAAGCCAATTCATATGCAAAACCAAACCAACAACAACAAAGTATCTTTGTTCCTCTACTATAAAACTGAGACTTTTAAGATATAAAGAGCACAGCCCTGGCCGGTTGGGCTCAGCACTTGGAGCACTGGCCCTCGGACCAGAGTCACAGGTTCAATTCCCAGTCAAGGGCACATACCTGGGCTGCAGGTTTGATCCCTGGTTTTGGTCAGGGTCATGTGGGAGGCAACCGATCAGTGTGTCTCTCTAACATCAATGTTTTTTCTCTCTCTCCCTCCTCCCTTCCACTCTATCTAAAAATATCAATGAAAAAACATCCCCTAGTAAGACTAACAACAACAAAAAAAGATATAAAGTATACTGAAGCAGCAAAAGTGTAAAATAAACAAAATACAGCAACATGTTAGGAAGCAAATAGGAATATAACTATAAGCATACACTTATTAGCTGCAATTATTATTATTCATCTCTTTTATTTAACAAAATGAAAACTATCTTTTACCACAACTTTGAGATATCTCTTCCTGAGATATCTCTTTTTAGTTACCAAAGAAAAGTCTGAAGAATCCTAGATACAAAGAACAATAAGTTAACAGAAAAAGAAACTCTAACAGACTTACCCTCTCTACAGTTGCCTCATCCCCTGGTAGACATGCAGCAGCAGCAGCAGCAGCACAAGCTATTTCCATCATAGCAGAGCTGGTAGGAGCGTCAGTAGTGGATGAAGACCTGGGTCGGCCAGACTGCATAACAGTTGCCATCTCCTGGCCAGATTTCCTGTTGATTTGGGGACTTCCCTTTGGGGCCTCTGGCTTGCCCCGCCTACTATGCAAGCTCGTCCCTCTCTTCATCTTGGGTGGCACTCGGATCTGTTGCAGGACACGATTCAGAGCTGTGGGGTGGGTGGGGACACCATCAATCTCTGCGCATGCGTTCTGGCTTTCCAGATCCATTTCAGGTTCTGGATCTGCCTGAATTTGTTGCACATCGTGTGGAGACACAGATGACCTCCTGCGCTGGTGCTGGAAGAGATGCTTCAAGCCTTGGCCAATCACATTAATGTTCTCCAAAGCATTGTGGGTCATTTTAGACAACTTTTGTTCTGATTCTGTCTGCTTTCTGGCCTCTGCATCTTGGGATTTGCCTCCAGGATCAGGGTCCTCATATAATTGTTCACTGCCTGAAGGCTCCATCAGTAGACTTAATACGCTTATTTGCAAACTCAAAAAATCTTACACACACCAAGACTGTCAAATTAGGTAGGCATTTGCTTCAATAGTAACTACACATGCAGCTGTGAGATGAAGGCTTCATGCCTATCTAATGTTTAAAAAAAAAAAAAAAAAAAAAGAACTTCATATTATAAATCCATGCAGAAACTCCAGTGTTAAAACAAAGAAAAACATGCCACTAGTCAAACAAATGGGCACTATCATTAAGCAATCTTTAATCAGAAGATTAAAAGACAGTTTTCTAGATAGTGGGTAATGATTATTTTCTAGAATAGAAAAAAAAGGCTCAGAAATAAGTACATAGGAAATGAAAACAGCAATGTTAAAAAACAATCCCTACAGGTTTTAATATATGAAGAATTGAATACTAGAGTAGTCATCTTGGAATGCAAACCACAATAACAGTTGACAAACAGCCATTGCTTGGGAAATCAAGAAAGCACAGAACATTCAATAGGTATAGTCTTGCTGAAGCAATTTAATTCCTCTCATTCATTACCACAGTTAATTATTCATATGCTGAAACTCAGTAAATTCAAATAGTAATAATAATAAGTAGATATCCCAACCTAATTATGTGTGGATTTTAATGGAAAAGAGGAAGTTCTTGTTACCATTCACATTCAAGGTCACTGATAACTTTTAAGAAGAAAACAGAAATGAAAATCTTGTAAGTTGAATTATCTGTTGAAGCACAAATGACCTTGGGGTACCACATGAGTGAATGATCCAGACAATCTATTTTCAGAGAGACTAGAGCTTTGCTCAGCCAGCTATCAAGAAAAGATATACTAAGAACTCCCTTTCTCTGAATAGTATCATCCCTGACAGAAGCTTCCCATACATCCACAAAAATTCAAAAGCAAAGAAGTAGCACAGTAACTGGGATATAACACAAGAAAGGTCAAACAGCAACCACACACCAATATTAAATGCAAGAAATTAAAAGGAAGCTGAAACTAAGAAATGTAAGATCAGCACAACTTCCATGGTTACGGAAATCACATGCACAAATAGAGGGGGGGAGATGGTAGGCATGAGATTTTTCATAATAGAAAGTGTTTATTTTTATACCAAGTTGCAAATATATAAAACAAAATTTCATTAATGCACAGAATGTGCTAGAGAGGACAAAATATAATGTAGGAAGAAGTTCTTTATGTCCATATTTTCCTTCAATTTTTTGTTCAAAGTGCTTTAAAACTCCCTGCACTACCAAGTGCTTTTAACAGTCTAAGTTACCATCAATGAAGCACTATGGTGGGCATGTTCTGGGGAAATGAAGACTCCTTGCCACCAAGTAGTAATCTAGAAGGCATAAATTAGCTGGATATAATAAGAGTTCACTATGAACTCAAGGCTACTAGAGTCCAGAGGGACAGGAATGTAAACCCATTAGAGTTTTCTTCCTGTTAATTACTTTCAGAAGATCTTACTATGTATATGGGCACTGTCATTGTGGCTCTGCTGTTCATATTCTTTCATGCCTATTTCTTCCACATCTCCTGACTTCTTCATGACTCAGAACAGAAATAATGTGACGAGGTAAAAGACAGTGTCTCTCACTAGTATATTTCTCTTTCTAAATACCACAAAATTCTTTGCTCCCAAACTAGGCAAATGAGTAACAGACACAAGAACGGGAAATTGCATTGCCTTTCACTCAAATTCTTTGTGGCCACACTAAAATCTTGCCACACCCTTTTCCTGACTGTACATTGCTTCTGTTTTTACTTTGAGAAAGCAAGAAGAAAACTTTAATCCTTATTAGATTAATGACTGTCTTAGCCTCTACTGGAGTTTTCTGGAGCTCCTTATGGGCAAAAATGTTGCCATAGTGTATGTATTTAATTATCCTCACCATGAGTTTGTAGGGCAGACTAATAGTTGAATTATTTCCACTCTGCAAAGCACTGAGCTTCTCAGAGAAAATTTACCAAAATAATCCAATAACACTGTACATCAACTCATCTTTCTTCTTGCACTGGGCTATTTAGACCCTGAGAAAATAGGAGAATGTGAAAGCAGCAGGCTGATAATGAAATAGTAATTTACTTTTTCCCGTTTGTATCTCATTACCTAAATAATACAAATGATTTTCTTGTTGGTTTTGAAAGCAAAATAGATAAAATAAATTTCTCCCATGAAAGTAAAAGGTACCATGAATAAAGGAATGATGATGTCAAGGTTAGCTGGAAAACCTACTTGTTTTCTATATAAAGGTATAAAGAATTTATTACTCAGCAAATCTGTTCCTTTGGGCAGTGTTATAAACGAATCAAGTGGCCATCTGCTTCTCTTTTTTAATGAAAAATATGGTACATTTTATATGTCAGTAACTTCATATGAGATTTCACTAGCATATGGACATCATTTACTTTCATATAATTCAAAGTGATGATTGACTGATTACAAGAAAATGCCAGTATTCCTAGGAAAATCTAGAAATAGGATGTCAATCTCCAAGCCAAAGTTTGCACAGGTTATCTACATAAATGCAATGAGTATGTAATAGTTCAGTAATAGATTCTAGAATTTCTAAAGGCAGAGGCTTACCTAACATGGCACCCTAAATTGAGCATTAAACATCAAGTAGTAGGATAAAAATTTTGAAAAACAACCTATTGCATTGATGATAAAATGTAATCTGGTACTTACACTTGCAACTATCATCTGCATTATTGCTGTGATATCAACAAACAAGAAATACGGTCAAAATTTTGACATTTGCTAAAATTTTCTGTATGCCAACAGAAAATCTGTAAGGCCACCCTTCAATAAAAGCCAAATATTAAGGAAGGCCAAATGCTGTGTCAAAAATACCAAAAGACAGTAATGTAATAATTAACTATAAAATTGCTAACAGCAAGAATGCAAGCATTAAAGAAATTCAGCAGTGGCAAAGTTTTTTAGAAATCCCTATTTCCTTCTGTAAAAATCAAATAAATAAAAACTGTTACTCGCCCTGGCCGGTTTGGCTCAGCGGTTAGAGCGTTGACCTGCGGTCCGGAGAGACCCGGGTTCGGTTCCCGCTAAGGGCACGTATTTCGGTTGCAGTTTGTCCCTGACCCTGGTTGGTCGTGCGGTGGCAGCCACTCGATGTGTCCCTTTCACATCGATGTTTCTCTCTCTCTATCTCTTCCTCTCTCTCCCTCCCACTCTATCTGTACAAAAAATGGAAAAATGTCCTCGGGTGAGGATAAAAAAAAAAAAAATAAATAAATAAATAAAAACTGTTACTCAGTTTATAAAATTCCCCAAATAATTATACTGAGATCCCTGTTTAACACAAGTTCAACTGCAAAGTAAGTGTGCTTTTGTAAGAAGGAAATGTTGGCTTCTCTTTTGTTCACTCAGCTTCTCGGAAAAGTAGAATTCTTGTATGTAAACCAGAGAAAGTAGGGGGGAAAAAAGGAACAGAAGGACATGGCTGAAAGGGAACAGGGTGAAGGAGTGAAAATCAGGAAAGAGGAGAAAAGGCCACCTACAGACCAGGCATTTAAGATAACTTTGTTAAATTCTCAGAATTTTTAACAATTTTTCTACAACAGTTTTGCCAAAGACAGTATGCCATTAGTTCCCATTCAAGAAGCAAGCTGTTCTGAATTAGTATCGGAAATAAGTTTAAAAAGTATGTTTTTTAAATCTGTCAAATGTTTATGAGAGTGCTCAAGATAAAACCACTCTAAATTATATACAAATTCTTTTTCATTTTTGTTTGTTTGTTTGTTTTTGATAGATATGGTGACCGAAACGTTTTGATTTGCTGATGAACCAAGTTATTTCACTGACTATAAAGAGTTGGATACTCACTTGTCTTTATCACTCTTCCTCAAGCATGTCTAAAGAATACAGGAATTCTTTTTAGGAAAAGCTGAAAAGCAAATATTAAAATTACAAAGTGAGAAACTTAAGAGGGGAGAACTTATCTATTATATACTAACAGAAAACAAGTGAATATATACATAAAATATTAACGTTTCTCTCTCACTGGTAGAAATAGTGTACATTTTCTCCAATATTTTTCATTATTTTCTAATTATTCAAAAATATAAAATTGTAATCAAGAAAAATTGTAATCAAAAAAGATATTTTGGAAAAAAATTAACTTATCAATACTTAAAAGAAAGTGGCACATGTCATAAGTAGCAATGAGTATTTTTACACTATGATCTGGAATTAGAAATGGATAGGCCATTAATTCTAATCTTAAAGTAACATGAAACGCATATACATGAAAACAACACAATTTTATAAGCAAATATTTTTTCAAGTAGCTTCCAATTCTGTATTTGTAATTTTGCATTAAAAGGCAACTCTAAAAACTGTATCTACCATGTACAACTGAGATTCAAGATGCACCAAAATTAAAATTTTCCTGGAAAACCAACTTGTGACAGCCATTACCAGAGAAGCAATTTAATTAGACAAGTATTTTGGGGACATCTGCTATGTGCTCAGCATTATATAGACCAAATACGGCATATTTTCCTGCCCTGAAGGAACACACAATCTAGCATTGAAAGTAAGGTTTGCATACTTAAACAAAATAGCCCAAAACAACACAATTAAGTGCTAAAATGTGTGAGGAAAACTGCAATTACCATCAGAAGTCCAGAAAATTTGTTAGGATTAGATTTGTTTGGAAAAATTTCATGAAAGAGAGAGAGACTTTAACTGAGCTTTAAAGGATGAGAAGATGAATAAACAGGAAGATATAAACCAAGATTTCCAGCTTAGAGAGCAATAAATATAGTATGTTTGGGGGCCAATAAAGAGGCCAGATAGTGGATACATATCTGAGTCACCTGGAGAGCTGGGCAGCCAATGAGCAGATGTGAGAGAGGACTTTCTATCATATAACCTTCCATATATTTTGAATTTTGTACCTTATGACTATATTATATATTTAAAAACTAAACTTCCACATTTCAAAAAAGAAAGAAAATACATGTTTTAATTTCTAGGGTAAACATTTAAAAAATAGTAAAAGAGTATATAACTGTTATGCTAATAGAAAAAATAGAATTAAAATACCCAAATAAATGCAAAAAGAAAAAAAAGAGGGAAAGCACAATCACCAAACAGCAAGACATATAAATAGCAAAATGGCCTATCCAGTGTGGCTCAATGGTTGAGTGACAACCCATGCACCAAGAGGTTGCTGGTTCCATTCCCAGTCAGGGCGCATGCCCAGGTTGTAGGCCAAATCCCCACTGGGGGGCGTGCAGGAGGCGGCCAATCAATGTTCTCTCTCTCATTTATGTTTCTATCTCTCTCTCCCTCTAAAATCAATAAAGAAGGAAAAAAAACCCTGGCCAGTTTGGCTCAGCGGTTAGAGCGTCGGCCTGCGGTCCGGAGAGACCTGGGTTCGGTTCCCGCTAAGGGCACGTACTTCGGTTGCAGTTTGTCCCCGGCCCTGGTTGGTCGTGCGGGTGGCAGCCACTCGATGTGTCCCTTCACGTCGATGTTTCTCTCTCTCTCCCCCTTCCTCTCTCTCCCTTCCACTCTATCTGTACAAAAAATGGAAAAATATCCTCGGGTGAGGATAAAAAAATAAATTAAAAAAAAGGAAAAAAAATTATTTGTATATATATATAAATCATGATATATATATAAATCACTCAGAACAGGGCCTGGTATGCAATAAGCACAACATAAAACACTTATTTTAGGAAATGCCAGGACCTATATAGGCAATGGTGGCAGTACTCTGGTTCCCATTCAGTATGCTGCAGCAGATGTTTCTCATTACCCTGGTACAATCTTAACTTCCATGTGGGAGGTTCTTGCCACTCATAGTTTTTGGCTCAATATGGTAAGAAAAGGAAATCACCAATTGAGCCTAACTATAAACAAATTTACAAGTAGGAAGAGTCAGTAAATTGAAGACAAAAGCTAATACTAATATGAAACTACTGTTCTTTATAGATTTAGAGATCTCTAATAGCACCACCTCATATCTGTATAGCATGTTATAGTTTCAAAGTACTTCTTTTTTTTTTTTTAATTTTTTATTGATTTTAGAGAGAGGAAGGGAGAAGAAGAAAGAGAGAAAAACATCAATGAGAGAGAGAGCATTGATCGGCCGCCTCCTGCATGCCCCCCACTGGGGATTTGGTCCACAACCTGGGCATGTGCCCTGGCTGGGAATGGAACCTGCAACCTCTTGGTGCATGGGTTGACACTCAATCACTGGGCCACACCAATGGACTCAAAGTACTTCTTAACACATCATGCCATTTGATCTCTCAACACTCCTATGAGGTCCTTGCTATTACTTCACATTTTATAGATGAGGAAATGAGGCTTAAGTGACATGCTGAAGGTCACTCAGCCAGCAAGTAGAAGAGCTGGAACTTAAACCTTCAGACTACTCTACCACAGCTGCCTCTCTAAATGGGGATAAGTTTTAAAATGCTAAAACTACAATTTTCTGAAAACAAACCATCCTCCATATCTCAGCAAACCATTAACAGCTTCAAGACATATTTAAAAATTAGAACAAATCAGCCCTGGCCAGTTTTGCTCAGCAGTTAGAGCGTCGGCCTGTAGTCCGGAGAGACCCGGGTTTGGTTCCTGTTAAGGGCGTGTACCTCGGTTGCAGTTTGTCCCCGGCCCTGGTTGGGTTGTGCAGGTGGCAGCCACTCGATGTGTCCCTTTCACATCAATGTTTCCCTCTCTCTTTCTCTTCCTCTCTCTCCCTCCCACTCTATCAGAACAGAAAATGGAAAAATGTCCTTGGGTAAGGATAAAAAAAAAAAAATAGAACAAATCAAAGAATAACAGGACCTTAAGGATCATTTATAATTGTAATCTTTCATTTTATATACACTCTTATGTAAATGTTTTTAGTACTTAGGATATGTCCAGTAGCATTTGTAATAGATAGGAAAGGGAGTAAAGGCTAAGTGATGTGTTAGATAGTTTTGGTTAGCCTCACTGGTGTGGTTCAGTGGTTGAGCATCGACCCATGCAGCAAGAGGTCGCCAGTTTGATTCCCGGTCAGAGCACATGCCCAGGTTGTGGGCAAATCCCCAGTGGGGGGGGGCATGCAGGAGGCGGCCAATCGATGTTCTCTCACATTGATGTTTCTCTCTCTCTCTCTCTCCCTTTCCCTTCCTCTCTGAAATCAGTAAAGAAAAAATAAAAATAAAAAAAAACAAAAACAGAAAGTTTGGGTTGTACCTGTATATTCTGGTATTTTGTACAGTGCCTAGCACATATTAAAAATTCAATAAATGTGTCAGAATAAATGAAAGAGTGAATGAGTGAACAAATGAATATCCTAAAGGCTCAATGAAGTAGAAACATTTCAGGAGTAAAATATACATTTGCTGATCAACACAAAGGCAAGGAACATTAAGAAATCAAAGATATATCACCTCACACCTGTCAGAATGGTCACCATCAACAAATCATCAAACAACAAGGGTTGGCAAGGTTGTAGGGAAAAGGGGACTCTAGTACACTGCTGGTGGGAATGCAGACTGGTGAGGCCACTATGGAAAACAATAGGGAGTTACCTCAAAAAATTAAAAATGGAACTGCCATTTGACCCAGTGATCCAACTTTTAGGATTATACCCTAAGAAGCCTGAAACACCAATCAGAAAGAATGTATTTACCCCCATGTTCATAGCAGCACTATTTACAATAGCTAAGATCTGTAAACAGCCCAAGTGTCCATCAGTAGACGAATGGATAAAAAAATTGTGGTACATATACACAATGGAGTACTATGCAGCTGTAAGAAAGAAAGATCTCTTATCCTTTGAGATGACATGGAGGGACCTGGAGAGTATTATCCTAAGCGAAACAAGCCAAGCAGAGAAAGACAAATATCACATGATCTCACTTATTTGTGGAATATAATGAACATAACAGTCTGAGGAATGGGGTAGTCTGAGAGACGTGGAAGTGGGGTACAGACTGACAATCCCCAGAAGAGGGGGTGGGGCGAGAGATAAACCACAGAACTTATATGCATGTACGCATGAACAATGGACATGGACAACAAAGCTGGGGACAAGGCGGGGAGGGTGGGGGAGGGGGTATCAGTGGGGGAAAAAGGAGAAACATCTGTAACAAAAATAAATTAATCAATTAAATAAATAAAATAAAACAAAAACAAAATGAAAAAAAAAAAGAAATCAAAGATAACCTCAAGTTTCATGGTTTAGTTGGCTAAGTAAATGATAAGCCATCAATCAAGATAAGTAAAACTAGTGTGAGAATAGGTATATGGAAATGCAAAGAGATCACGGCAAAATGCTAAAGAATTTGGTGAAAGATATTAAATTTCAAGAATCAGTAGGGAGTCTACACTGGAGATGCAGATTTAGGAGTAACCATATGAAGCTTATAAAAAGATCAGAGCTACCACACACCATAGTTTATGGATTCTCATGCTCTTAATCAATAGCAGAATAGGATATGCAAGTCAAAATGACATACACCCAGAATTCCGGTACCTTGAGACCCTAACCTGATCTTTGCCCCACTGATTTTTTAAACATAGATTATGCTTTTGAGTCATCCTTCATTTGCTTTCTAACAAGATATGAAGGTCCACAGTTTATTTTCACTATGTGCAACAGACAGAATTCTGGGCTCACAGATCCAAGGAAGATCAGAAATTCAATATACTTTGCATTATTTACCATAAACATACAAAATTTATATACTGGTTTAAATCAGTATTATTCGCTGAAAAACTCATAAAATAATGATTTGCCACATACTAGTGACTTTTTAAAGTTTTGGTTTGAAACTTGAAATACTTTTGATAAAACCAATGTTTTGATAGAGCACTCTTTATCAATAGACAATGTTTTTACCGATGTTTATTCTCACACTAGGACAAGGAAAGTTATTTTGGGATATTTTTTTCTCTTAATCCAGAATTACAACAAGATACTTCTAACAGTCTTCACATACAAGTCTCTTCCCCTTCCAACTCATCGTACCTACGAATCCGGGGGGTGGGGTGGGGGGAGGGGAGCAACCTTCCTATTTTGTTTCACCTCTACCTCCCAAAATTCATCCTTTATATCTTAAACTGATCTTACACCAAACTAAGCTCAAAACATCAACAAATGGATTAGGCAGAAACACACAATATAAGATTAATTTATCTCCATGATTTCATTCATGTTATTTTTCATACCCGCAATGTTATCTCTTTTTCCAACATTTATCCAAATAGAGTTCACAGATCAAATCCTCCTCTAACCTCTTCAACACTCACCTACTGTCTCCTTTCTTTGAATTTACATAATACAAATTGAGTGGCCCTCAAAAGTTAGCTGTTTTGCCCTGGCCAGTTTGGCTCAGCGGTTAGAGCGTCTGCCTGCGGTCCAGAGAGACCCGGGTTCGGTTTCCGCTAAGGTCATGTACCTCGGTTGCAGTTTGTCCCCGGCCCTGGATGGTCCTGCGGGTGGCGGCCACTCGATGTGTCCCTTTCGCATCGATGTTTCTCTCTCTCACTCTTCCTCTCTCTCCCTCCCACTCTATCTGTACAAAAAATGGAAAAATGTCCTCGGGTGAGGATTAAAAAAAAAAAAGGTAGCTGTTTTCCTCTATGTTGGAAAGCAAGCTTCCTGAAGAGAGGTGTCATATCAAATCCGTAAATAATGAACACATAGTTGGCATTCAATGAATACTTACTAACTCAATGATAGGTCTGAATATGTATCTTAGATTTTTAGCTTTCTGATCATCCTCTGCCTCTACATTGCCATATACCAGGGCGGGGGTGGTGGTGTCATTTTTTTTCATTTTACTAGCATTTTACCACCTAGAAAAATTGGGGGGGCCAGTAAACATTGACAACAATCTTAAATTTACATTTATTTACTCTTTATTTATTTTTATCCTCACCCGAGGACATTTTTGCATTTATCTTCAGATAGAGCAGGAGGGAAAGAGGGAGGAAGAGGGAGAGAGAAACATCGATGTGAGAGACACATTGACTGGCTGCCACCCACATGACCCCAACTCAGGGCAGGGACAAACTGCAACTGAGGTACGTACCCTTGAGAGGAACTGAACCAAAGACTCTCTGGTCCGCAGGCCAACTCTCTAACCACTGAGCAAAACCAACCAGGGCTATTTTACTCTTTAAATGGCCAAGTCTATCATCTCATTTCAGGAAGAAAAGCCTAATTACTAAAACACTAAAAAGAAACAGTTATTTTTACAAAGTGAAAGAGAAAAAGGCAATTGTTACTTGAAAGAGCAATGCAAATTCTCTAGGTACAGAAAGAAATTAAGCAATCTAAATAAGATTAGAAAATTGACAATCATAACAGTACACTTCCTCAGTATACTTATACTCACTGTCTAAACATGACTTACTACTTAAAACATAGTGAAAATAAATGAACACTTAAAAAAGTTTCATCAACTGGCCATATTTTGTAAAAACTTATCTCAAGAAAACAATTTTTAAAAAAACAACAACTTGATCCTGGCCAGTTTGGCTCAGCGGTTAGAGTGTCAGCCTGTGGTCCACAGAGACCCGGGTTCAGTTCCCGCTAAGGGCATGTACCATGGCTGAAGTTTGTCCCCAGCCCTGGTTGGGTCATGCGGATGGCAGCCACTCAATGTGTCCCTTTCATGCCAATGTTTCTCTCTCTTCTCTTCCTCTCTCTCCCTCCCGCTCTATCTGAATAAAAAATGGAAAAATGTCCTCGGGTGAGGATAAAAAACAACAACAACTTGGCCCAGCCAGTGTGGCTCAGTGGTTGAGCGTCACCCCACATACTAAGGGGTTGCCGGTTCAATTCCCAGTCAGGGTACATGCCCAGGCTGTGGGCCAAATCCCCAGTGGGGGGGCATGCAGGAGGCGGCCAATCAATGTTCTCTCTCATTGATGTTTCTGTCTCTCTCTCTCCCTCTCCCTTTCTCTCTCTCTAAAAATCAATTAAGAAAAATCGTTTTAAAAAACAACAGCTTAAATAGTATTTTCCTGAACCTGAACTATACTGTACATATACCATATTTAGGGATATATATGATTGGAAAAATAACCAGTCACTCCATGAAGCTCCTGATAGAGAAATCAAGAAGTTAAAATTTTTTAGCTTTAGTTATATAGTTAATTGACTTGGTAATTAATGCATGTAGAAAGCTATTGTTCCAGGAACCTTTGTGCCCCAGGAGGACTGCAAGCAATCAAGATGGTGTTTGAGCCACTGTGCTTCAGAGAGACAACATTCTTCCCTAGAACACAGATAAAAAATCACCTTACCGTCAGCCCTGGCCAGTTTGGCTCAGCAGTTAGAGCATAGGCCTGTAGACCAGAGGGTCTTGGGTTCAAGTCAAGAGCACGTACCTGTATTGCAGGGTAGATCTCTAGCCCTGGTCAGGGTCATGAAGGAGGCAACCAATTAACGTGTCTCTCTCTATCATTCCCCTCCCTTCCACTCTAAAAAAAAATCAATGGAAAAAATATCCTTGGGTGAGGATTAAGCAAAAAAAAAAAAAAAAAATCACCAGTCACCAGATAAAGGAAGGGATGGTAGGAATATCACTGGACTGCAGCTTTTATCTGATTAACATTTTCCCTGAATTCCAAACCCATTACCTACTTTTTCCAGAATTCCAAACTCTTTACCTACACCTTTCTTCTCCTTATAAAAAAGGTTGACTTGAGATGAGATATAAATCGGTCTTTTTTGTTATTGTTAATCCTCACGCAAGGATATTTTTCCATAGATTTTTAGATTGAGAAAGAGAGAGAGAAACATCGATGTGAGATAGACACATTGACTGGTTGCCTCCCGCCCTACCCAGACCAGGACCGAGGATGGAACCTGCAACTCAGATATGTGCCCTTGACCAGGAATCAAACCTGAAACCCTTCAGGCCGACAATCTAACCAGTGAGCCACACCGGGCAGGGCATAACATAGTTTTTAGGATACATAACCACCAGCCTCTCAGATTGCCAGCCATTTGAATAAAGTGCCCATAAAGAGTCAATCCTGCCCGGCCAGTGTGGCTCACTGGTTGAGCGTCGACCCATGCACCAAGAGGTCACTGGTTTGATTCCCAGTCAGGGCACCTGCCCAGGTTGTGGGCCCAATCCTCAGTCGGGGGCATGCAGGAGGTGGCCAATCGATGTTCTCTCTCATCAATGTTTTAATCTCTCTCTTCCTCTCTCTCTAAAATCAATAAAGAAAAAAATATTTTTTTAAAAAAGAAGCAATTCTTTTCTCTACTTATTGGTTCTAGTAGTGACAGGTAGCAGGAACATTGACTTTTCCAGTTTCACTCCCCCTTCATCCTCTTTGGGTAGGTGCTAAGAAATGTGCTTGTTAAGTTATCTAGTCCCAAGCTAGTATGAATAGAAAAATCTAAGGAAACTCTACCAGAGTAAAGAAATAACACATGACCAAGCAAATAACTGAAGCCAGGAAAAGATTAATTCACAACAAAATTTGCCAATTCAGTCCACTGGGTGATTTTGTGCTAGTTTTCAAGAAACTGACTTCAAGGCCACACTGAAACTAAATTTAAAAAACAAAAAGAATGAACTAAATCAGTGAATCAGAGCTAGAAGGGATTCTAATGATTTTAAAGATGAGAAATGAGATCTAATTAGGTCACACAGATATTGGTTGCAAAAGCTAGAACTGAAGGTTCTAATTCCTAGAATAGCAACAGATATTTACTGAGTACTAGGCACTATGTTAGACCAGTACCCACTCTTGCATATCATGATACTTCCTAAGATGTTCAAAAGCATTTAAAACTTACATTTTATCTAAGAAAATTTCTAAATTAGGACAAGACAATGTCCATATCTCCAACAAGCATGTTGAAATAAGCAGGCAGAGAAAAAAACTTTAAAATAGAAAAGAATTTGGAATTCCAATTTACCCTTCCTGTCCTGGTTATAAAATTGCACATGCTGTTGTTTACCATTAAAAAGAGTAACACCATCAAAAGACATGTCTACCCAAATCTCATGAGCCAATAGTTTAAGAAAAATGAGCCTTATCCTGTTGGGGAAATAACCTGTTTTTGTCACATCACACTCAAGAATTAGCTCTGTCACAGGATTAAAGTACAGCCACCTAAGGACAAAAGTCTAGGCAGAAAAAAAACAATACTGAAATTTGATAAAGACCCCTCAGGAATATGGCATTTAGCTGTTTCAATGACACCTTTCATCTAAGGATCTCAAAACAAATGTTATTTACATTACCAAGAATCAAAACCATGACACCATGGCCCAATAAAAAAAACATATCAGTGACCTAGAGGAAATTCAATATTGATATTCTGAAATCAGCTCTCTGCTCTAGAAAGCAAGATCTAGTTTTATGTAACAGCAGTGTGGTGTAATAAGAAATATATATTTGGTCTTTGTCCCTAGTTCCTGGTACAGAGCTAAACCCTTGGAATTTCCTGAGAAATAAGTCTCTTGTTATTGGTAACAGAACCATACCTGAGTTGATGCTAATGAGGTGACTCTTGGGGGGCTCCAAGACAGCTTCAGAATGGAAGCTGGTTGCCACAGGAACCAAGCATGTGAATAGAAGGTTGGAACTTTCATGCCCTCCCTCCAATCTGGGAAAGAAAGAGAGGCTGGAGACTGAGTTAATCACCAATGCCGATGATTTAAATAATCATTCCTAGGTAATGGAACCTCCACAAAAACCACTACACAAGGAGTTCAAAGAACTTCTGGATGATGAGCACTCCAAGGTACTGGAGGATGGTGGGCCCAGCAGCGCATGGAAGCTTCCTGTACCTTGCCCTATGCACATCTTTTTTTTTTTTATCCTCACCTGAGGACATTTTTCCATTTTTTGTTCAGATAGAGCAGGAGAGAGAGAGAGGAAGAGAGAGAGAGAGAGAAACATCGATGTGAAGGGACACATCGAGTGGCTGCCACCCGCACGACCAACCAGGGCCGGGGACAAACTGCAACCGAGGTACGTGCCGAACCCTTAGCGGGAACCGAACCCGGGTCTCTCTGTACCACAGGCCGACGCTCCAACCGCTGAGCCAAACCGGTCAGGGCTGCACATCTTGTATTTGGCTGTTTGTGAGTTGTATCCTTTATAAAAAAAAAAACCTGTAAGCATAAGTAAAGTGTTTTTCCCAAGTTTTGTGAGTCATCTCAGGGTATTATCAAACCTGAGGAGGGGGTCATGAGAACCCCCCAAATTTGTAGTGAGGCCAGAATTTGTTGTGAAGTACAGGTGGCCCAGGACTTGCAACTGGCATCTACAATGGGGGCATCCTTGTGGAACTGAGCCCTTTAACTTGCAGGATCTGACACTAAGTACATATAGATAGAGTCAGAATTGTACTGAATTGTTGGACACTCAGTTGGTGTTACAGAACTGGACAACTGGTTGTGTTCTTGGTGGAAATATCTATTTGGGTGGAAACAAACCCCTGGGTTTTTAATGTCCCATCTCCCTCCATGCCGCCATGGAAAAAGTCCAATCGTGTCTTCAGCAGGGCCAGAATAAAGGCCACTGCCCATAGTTTCTGCTCCGTATTAAAGTACAGTCCAGCCCTGGCCGGTTTGGCTCAGCGGTTGGAGCGTCAGCCTGCGGTCTGGAGAGATCCAGGTTCAGTTCCCGCTAAGGGCACGTACCTCGGTTGCAGTTTGTCCCCGGCCCTGATTGGGTCGTGTGGGTGGTGACCACTCGATGTGTCCCTTTCACGTCGATGTTTCTCTCTCTCTCCCTCCCACTCTATCTGAACAAAATATCAAAAAAGTGTCCTCAGGTGAGGATAAAAAAGAAAAAAACAAAAACAACAACAAAAAATAAATAAATAAATAAAGTACAGTCCAGCCCTGGCCGGTTTGGCTCAGCGGTTAGAGCGTCGGCCTGCGGTCCAGAGAGACCCAGGTTGGATTCCCACTAAGGGCATGTACCTCGGTTACAGTCTGTCCCTGGCCCTAGTTGGGTCCTGCAGGTGGCAGCCACTCGATGTGTCCTTTTCATGTCAATGTTTCTCTCTCTGTCTTCCTCTCTCTCCCTCTTGCTCTAGCTGATCAAAAAATTGAAAAATGTCCTTGGGTGAGGATAAATAAATAAAACAAAGTACAATCCAGATCAGCATCCTGTGTGTGGAGTTCACAAAGCCATGGGGCATGCATCTGCTAAGGCCACATGGCTATGGAGAGAGAACATGCAAACTCACAGTGGAGTAGTCAGAAGCAAGAGAGAACAAGAAAGAAGAGCCCTGGCCAGTTTGGCTCAGCGGTTAGAGCGTCGGCCTGCGGTCCGGAGAGACCCGGGTTCGGTTCCCGCTAAGGGCACGTACTTCGGTTGCAGTTTGTCCCCGGCCCTGGTTGGTCGTGCGGGTGGCAGCCACTCGATGTGTCCCTTCACGTCGATGTTTCTCTCTCTCTCTCCCTCCCACTCTATCTGTACAAAAAATGGAAAAATACCCTCGGGTGAGGATCAAAAAAAAAAAAAAAAAAAAAAAAGAAAGAAGAAACTCTTTGACTCTGGGGATTTTTAACCAGGAGCTTCTTCAAACTAACCAATGGACTTTCCAAGATTTCACATGCTTCTGATGGGGTACACCCCCCAGCCAATCCATTGTTTCCCAGGCTAGACTGACAGGCAAGCATCTCCCCTGTGTGGCTATCTCCCCATTCTCCCCAGCCCCTCAGTGATCCAGTACCGAATGGGGGAAGGGAAGGGTGTTAATCCCCTTGGAGGAACAATACTATGTGAAGTTGTAGCTTCCTGGTGAAACTTCCCAGGTGATAATGCATACAATGTCTGACTTCTCTTTATTAATATTAAACTAGCTAATTATAGTAACAACAGTTGTGGAGTGGAAAAAAACAAACACACTAGTAGTTCATTCCTAGTCCACATTTGTAAAGCTTGGAGACACAAATGGATTTGTTGATATAATCTCAGTTTGTTGTGGCACAAGAGAACCAAGAGACCACCAGAGCTAAATTAAAGCCAAATAGAGAGCAAAGCCGGCTGGTTACTGATCCTGAGTTCTTGGAGACAAGCCCTGGGGTCTCCAACTGTTGTGGCGTGACACAGTCAAAGAAAGACCATTAGAGAATTGAAGTCTAAATAAGAGCCATTTATTAGCCGACCGGCGTCTGATTCTGAACGCCCATGTGACAGTCTTCGGAATCAGCCCTGATATGCTTTATTACATGCCTTTTATATCTTACAGAAAATAGGATCTTCTTGATATAATGGCCAGGGCCACAGCAATGCTGTATAGAATTAGTTTGCCTTACAGATAAGAGGAATACCTAGGAACACCCAGGCACACCCAGGAACACCAAGAACACCCAGGTATTTCAGGTATTTCAAGGTACCAATGTACCTTGAGTTGATGCTAATGAGGTGACTCTTGGGGGGCTTAGCCCCGAGCTTCACAAACACAATGCAAGCCTGATTCCTTGAGATTGTGGGGGAGGTCGAATCTCTGACTCAGGACCTCCAGGCTCCGTGGACTCTGTCAGACACGTAGCCGGCTTCCAACAATTTCTTGGTTCAGAGAGTGTTCCAATTTACTGAGGTTATTTTTTACTAAACAGGTTCAGCTAGAAGGCATACAGTGACTTTCCCAATCAATTATGGAGGAGCACAATAATTTACCAATCATCAATTATGGGGTTATAAACATGCCAGCACAAGTTTACCTTGCTGCACATATGTGAAGACCCCAAAATTTAAGCAATGTTGTCAGAATAGTTACTACTAATAATTAGCATTAATTTTATGAAAACTATGCGTCATCTTTGTGCCAGGCATTAAGCTTAGTATTTTCCAGTATATACAACTCTAAAATGTAGATACTGTCCCCAACAGCAGATGTGAAAATTAAATCTCATTAAATTTCCCACTGCACACAACAAGTGGCACAGCTAAAGACTAAAGCTAATTTTAACAAATTCTTGCCCAGCCAGTGTGGCTCAGTGGTTGAGTGTCCACCTATGCACCAAGAAGTTACCAGTTTGGTTCCCAGTCAGGGCACATGCCCAGATTGTGGGCCTGATCCCCAGTGGAGGGCATGCAGGAGGCAGCCGATCGATGTTCTCTCTCATCGATGTTTCTCTCTCTCCCCCTTCCTCTTTCTCTAAAAGCAATAATGAAAAAAAAAAAAACACAAATTCCTGCCTTCTACATTATAGCAAGCTTTACTTTTTATTATTTGTATAAAATTATAAACTCTGTCGGCCTGCGGTACAGAGAGACCTGGGTTCGGTTCCCACTAAAGGCACGTACCTCGGTTGCAGTTTGTACCCGGCCCTGGTTGGTCGTGCGGGTGGCAGCCACTCGATGTGTCCCTTCACATCGATGTTTCTCTCTCTCTCTCTTCCTCTCTCTCCCTCCCGCTCTATCTGAACAAAAAATGGAAAAATGTCCTCAGGTGAGGATAAAAAAAATATATATATTATAAACTCTCTAACAATCCTTGAGGATAACATATCCCAAATTATGCCCTTGAAAGACTTGTCTTAAGAGATGCTCTGTTGAAAAACAATAATATAAGACCTCTAAATTCTGATCTAATCTAGAGTTAACTAAATTCTTCAATCTCTTCTTTTTTGTTGTTTCTACTCACTCCCTTAGTGATCTCATCCAGGCTCCTGGCTTTAAATACAATCTATTTAACAACACCCAAAGGTACACCTCCGATCCTTTCTCCTGAATTCCAGAGTCATAAACCCAACTACCAATCAATACCTTACTAAGTCTAACAGGCATCTATAATGTAATATGTCCAAAATTGAGCTATTGTTCTTTCCCTCCACATTTATTCCTCTTTCAGGCTTCCTCATCTCAATAAATGGCAAAGGCATCCTTCCAGGAACTCAGAACAGAAACCTTGGAGTCATCCTTAACTCTTTCCTTTCCTTCCCTGCACACACCCAATCAATCAGCAAAGCTAGTTGTGTTTACTTGAGAAATATATCCAGAACCAGACCATGTATTACCATATTCACTGCTACCTACCCCTAGTGCAAACTGTGATCTTCTCTCACTTGGATTCCAGCAATAACCTCCTATCTGCTATTTCTGCTTTCGCCCATGCTCAATCCACCACCAGTCTATTACCAACACAGAAGCCAGAGTAATAATAATGTCAAAATGGAAATCAGATCATATCATCCCACTGCCCAAAACCCTACAAAGACTTCCCATTTCAGCCCAGCCAGTGTGGCTCAGTGGTTAAGCATCAACCCATGTACCAAGAGGTTGCTGGTTTGATTCCCAGTCAGGGCACATGCCCAGGTTGTGGGCTCAGTGCTTAGTAGGGGACATGCAGGAGGTGGCCAATCCATGTTCTCTCTCATTGATGTTTCTATTTCTCTCTCCCTCTCCCTTCCTTCCTCTCTAAAAATCAATCAAGGAAATAAAAACATTTTTTTTAAAGACCCCATTTCACTCAGCGTAAAAACTTAAGTTCTGAAAAGGACCAACAGGACCAGCAGCAATAGGACCAGAAGCAACTGGGAGCTTATTAGAAATGGCCCCACCTCAGATCTACAAAATTACAATCTGAATTTAAGAATACCCTAGGTAATTCATGTGCACATTAAAGTTTGAAAAATATCTGCATAAGGCACCATAATATAAGCACCTACCCTCCCCAACCGTTGCCATTCCTCAGGCAAGCTTCTGTCTCAGGACATTTGCACTTGTCATTTACTATGGCTGGAATGCTTTTCTCTTATATACTCTCACCTCTTTCAAGTGTTCATTGAAATGTCACCTTAGCCCTGGCCGGTTTGGCTCAGCGGTTAGAGTGCCCGCCTGCGGTCCGGAGAGACCCGGGTTCGGTTCCCGCTAGGGGCATGTACCTTGGTTGCAGTTTGTCCCCGGCCCTGGTTGGTCGTGCGGGTGGCAGCCACTCGATGTGTCCCTTTCACATCGATGTTTCTCACTCTCTCTCTTCCTCTCTCTCCCTCCCACTCTGTCTGTACAAAAAATGGAAAAATGTCCTCGGGTGAGGATAAAAAAAAAAAAAAAAAAAAAAAAGAAATGTCACCTTATCTGAGAATACTAAATCCTTCCCCTCAATATGCCCTATTCCTCTTTCCTGCTTTTACTTTTCTCATTAGAAGTTGTCATCATAGGTTAAAAAACTACATTTTTACTTATTTATCTTGTCTAGACTATCTCCCCATATAATTTATAAAATAAGCTGTATGAAGGCATACATTTTTGTTGGTTTTCTTCCCCAGTGCCCAGAACACAGTACCACTCAATTATTTTTAAATGCATAAAGTAAAAAATAAGGTTTCTCTTCAAAACACTATCCAATAAATCGTGTAAAATGCAAATTGATGTTTTCTCAGCATCACATAAAACAAATCTTTTTTTTTTCTTTATTGATTTTAGAGAGAGGAAGGGAGAGAAAGATAGAAACATCAATGAGAGAGAACATCGATTGGCCATCTCCCGCATGCTCCCCACTGGGGATTTGGCCCACAACCTGGGCATGTCCCCTGATGGGGAATTGAACCAGTGACCTCTTGGTGCATGGGTTGATGCTCAAACACTGAGCCACACCGACCAAGCAAAACAAATCTACTTTTTAAAATATATTGCACCCCTACTATGTAATTAGGCACTGTAAACACTACTGTTCATCCATGATTAAGCACAGAAATTTAAAAATCTGCTTCACAATTCATGACGGGACTGTATCATCAAAAGGTATGCAGAAATAGCCCTGGCTGGTTTGGCTCAGCAGTTAGAACGTCAGCCCACAGACCAAAGAGCTGTGGGTTCGATTCTAGTCAAGGGCACATACCTCCATTGTGGTTCATTCTTTTATATATCAGCAATTTTCAACCTTTTCCATCCATAGCACACATAAACTAATTACTAAAATTCTGCAGCACACCAGAAAATATATTTTTTGCCGATCTGACAAAAAAGAAATAGGTATAATTTTGATTTATTTACCAAAAATAATAGTAATTACCTACTTTTTGCTCCAAAGTGACTTTTTAAAAAATCAGTTGCCTATACTTGTATATAAGGATTTCTGGTACCAAGAATTAACCAATCAGATGCAACCTTATTATGTGACATGACCAATAAGATGCAACTCTATTATATGACCTATATATTTATGGTTCAAGACAGGGCATTCACATCAGTTGGTTATTGTTTTGTTTTGTTTTTTATTTTAATTTATGTTATGTTTAACTATTAAGATAAAAATTAAATTTTTAAAAAAATTTTTTATTAGTTTTTGTTAGATGGCTATTGTTGTGCTCGCTATTGTCATTTTTTTTCTTCTTTTAATCCTCACCCGAGGATATTTTTCTATTTATCTTCAGATGGAGTGGGAGGGAAGGAAGGAGAGAAACATCTATGTGAGAAGGACAAATCAACTGGTTGCCTCCCACGTGACCCTGATCAGGGCCAGGGACAAACCTCAACCCAGGTATGTGCCGTTGACAAGGATCGAACCAGCAACTCATTGGTCTGCAGGCCGAAGCTCTAACTGCTGAGCCAAACTGGCCAGGGCTGTTGTCTTTTCTAAATTTGATAATATAAAGGGAAAGAGGTCAGTGCCCCTGACTACATAGTCAGGTATGTTTCAAAAATTCTTGTGGCCCTGGCCGGTCTGGCTCAGCGGTTAGAGCATGGGCCTGCAGACCAGAGAGTCCTGGGTTTGGTTCCCGCTAGGGACATGTACCTTGGTTGCAGTTTGTCCCCAGCCTTGACTGGGGTCGTGTGGGTGGCAACCACTCGATGTGTCTCTCTCACATCGATGTTTCTCTCTCTCTTCCTCCCTCTCTCTCTCCTACTCTATCTGAAGATGAATGCAAAAATGTCCTCAGGTGAGGATAAAAAAAAATTCTTGTGGCACACCAGTTAAAAACCACTGCTTTATATCAACAAAATAGTCTTCCACACAAATTTTCTTATCTGATCCTCAACAATCCTTTGAGGTCTGTGTAACGCAAATAACGAAAAGCCCATTTTAGAGGTGAGAAAACATGCTTTAACCCTCAAAGCATGACACTAATGTCAAAACTGAGACTGAAGTGTCTTGATTTCTACAATATCATCCTCCTCTTGCAAATGATATTGAAACAGACTACAAAAATCACATAGTCATACATTTTGCTGAATATACTAAGCTTTCCCAAACCACTCAGTGTCTATGAAGAATGGGAACAAACAAACTCAGTTAAATAAAGTCACCATCTCAACTTGAGGAATAAGAATTCAAAGTGCTTCTTGTTGCTTATAATTATAACCCAGAGTTCAATGACATTTAGGAAGAATTTAAGAAATTAGTTGTTATAATGCACATCAAGGAAATTCTTATTAAGCTATGACAATTGCTAGAAAAAAGAGAGAATGGTAGAAATGAAGATGGAACAAGTGAATTGAGAACTGAGCTCTACAGAGGAAAGAGTCAAGGTTATATCATTATTGTATATTGCTCTGAGTGACACAATTTTGTAATAAAAGAAAAGACATACCTCCTCAAAATCCCAGCACAACAGCTGTCCTTTCTTTGCATAGATGAGGATGAAAAGTTGTAATCCAAAATGTTTCCCAAAAAGTTATATTTTAAAAAGACATAGAAATAGATGATCCATAGGAGATCCAATCTGGAGGATGAAGATTATGTCTTCTAAACCTTGTAATCAAGAGCAGCTGTTTACCAAGTGTCAGCATCTGAAGCAAGTGCTAACTGTGGTTGTGTCTTCTGGAGAGAGTAATACCTGCTGAGACAAAAGAGCAAGAGAAGGAGAAAGAAATACTATTGAATGCAAATGACTGGCTGGCAAAAAATTAACAGTCATTAGTCTCAAAATTTTTCAAGTTGGTATTAGGGAACATTAAAAGAGCAAATGGAGATAAATACAAGTGGGCAAGCCAACTGACAGTGGGATTATCAATGACAGCAGCAATCAAAGGTACACTTCAGCCCTGGCTGGGTGGCTCACTTGGTTAGAGTGTTGTTCCAATAAGCCAAGTTGCCAATTTCAATCTCTGGTCAGGGCACATACAAGAAGCAAATAAAGAATACATAAATGAGTGGAACAACAAATCAATGTTTCTCTCTCTCCCTTCCTCTCTCTCTCTAAAATAAATAAATAATATTTTAATAGGGGACATCTGTAATACTTTCAACAATAAAGCTAAATTTAAATAAATAAAATTTAAAAACAAAAAGTACACTTCAGCAGATGATCCAACTCTCAGATTAATAATAAGAAGCAGCCCTGGCCGGTTTGGCTTAGCTGTCAGAGTGTTGTCCCGTGGACCAGAGTCTTGGGTTCGATTCCGGTCAAGGGTTGCTGTTCGATCCCCGGCCCTGGTTGGGGTAGTATGGGAGGCAACCAACCAGTGTGTCTCTCTCACATCGTTGTATCGCGCTCTCTCCCTCTCCCTCCCCTCGCTCTGGCTGAAAATCAGTGGAAAAATATCCTCGGGTGAGGATTAAAAATAATAATAATAGCCCTGACTGGTTTGGCTCAGTGGTTGGAGCATCGGCCTGTGAACCAAAGAATCTCGGGTTTGATTCCAGCCAAGGGCACATAACTTCCTGGGTTACAGGTGAGATCCCTAGCCCCATTAAAGTGCATGCCAGAGGCAGCCAATCCATGTGTCTCACTCACATCGATGTTTCTTTCTCTCGTTCTCTCTCTCCCCCCACCACCTCTCTGCATCACTTCCATTCTCTCTAAAAATCAATGGAAAAATATCCTTGGGTGAGGATTAAAATAAATAAATAAATAATAAACAAAATATAAAAATCTATTTTATTTTTTAATTGTATTGATTGTGTAGAGCGGTTGGAGCATTGGCCTGAGACCAGAGAGTCCCAGGTTTGGTTCCCACTAGGGGCATGTACCAAAAAAAAACAAAACAACAACAAAAAAAACATCAATGTGAAAGAGAAACATCAATCAGCTGCCTCCTGCACTCCTCCCACTGGGAATTAAGTCAGTAACCCAACTAAGTGTCCTGACCAGGAATTGAACTAGGACCTCTCAGTCCATGGGACAACACTCAATCAATCCACTGAGCCACACCGGCTGGGCTATTTCATGTTTTTCATAGCAAGATGATAATCATATCATACAACCAAAAACAAATAATATCAGGTTGTCTGGCAAAAAGCACTCTGGTGCCTTATAAAACAAATATTATATAGTGACTAATGAAGATGTCCATGTCAGCATAGTATATAGAATAATCATGCAAAAAATATGTCCTCAGGTGAGGATAAAAAAAGAAAAGAAATACAATGACTGGGATTAACAGCAGATTAGACATTTCAGAAGAAAAATGAGTGAATGTAAGGTCTGGCAAAAAAACAAAGTTAATGCAGAAAGGAAGGGACATCAAAGTTAATTTGACACACTGGGTGGTTTTGTGTATCCTTGTTAGATATCTTACAGAATTAATAATCTATTATATTTTGGCAGCAAATTAAAGCAATATTTCTTGATATCTGCCAAATCACTGCATTTCCATCAAACTACAAATTATAGAATCTACAGAGTGGGACAAAAGTAGGTTTACAGGTGTTCATATGAAAAATAATACAATAATTAGCCTGGCCAGTGTGGTTCAGTAGTTGAGCGTTGACCCGTGCACCAAGAGGTCACTGATTCGATTCCTGGTCAGGGCACATGCCCAGGTTGTGGGCATGTTTCCCAGTGGGGAACATGCAGGAGGTGGCCAATCGATGTTCTCTCTCTTTGATGTTTCTATCTTTCTCTCCCTCTCATCCCCTTCCTTCTCTCTCCCTAAAATCAATAAAAGAAAAAAAAATTTTTTTAAGAAAAATAATACAATAATTAATAATATAAAAATAAACTGTTTCACATACTCACAACTATAAATCTGCTTTTGCCCAACACTGTATGTAGTGAACTGAAATGAAATACAATAAATGGGCCCTGGCAGGTATGGCCCAGCTGTTGGAGCATTGGCCCACGGACCAGAGACCCAGGTTCGGTTCCCGCTAAGGGCACATACCTCAGGTGCAGTTTGTTCCTGGCCCCGGTTGGGGTTGTGTGGGTGGCAGCCAGTCGATGTGTCTCTCTCACATCAGTGTTTCTCTCTCTCTCTTCCTCACTCTCTCTCTCCCGCTCTATCTGAAGATAAATGCAAAAATAAAAAAAAGAAATACAATGAAATAAAATGAATAACAGCAGATTAGACAATTCAGAAGAAAAATGAGTGAATGTAAACACATAAGAATGGAAACTATCCAAAATGAAATCTGGAATAGAAGTCTCAGAAAAAAAGCAGAGCCTTCAGCAAGCTATGGGACAACCTCAAGGAGTAAATAATATGTGTGTGACTGGAATCTTGAGGGGAGGGGGACAGGATTTGAAAAAATAATATCTAAAAAATTCAAATTTGATGAAAACTATAAATTCATAGATCCAAGAAGCTCAAAACACACCAAGCACAAGAAGCCTGAAGAAACTTAATACTCCACCAAGGAGTAATCAAAATCAAATTGCTTAATACCAGAGATAAGAAAAAAAAATCTTAAAAACAGCCAAAGGAGCCTGGCTGGTGTGGCTCAGTGGCTGAGCTTCGACCCATGCACTAAGAAGTCCCCGGTTCAATTCCCAGTCAGGGCACATGCCCAGGTTGTGACCCGATCCCCAGTGGGGGGCGTGCAGGAAGCGGCCAACTGATGTTCTCTCTCATCGATGTGTTTATCTCTCTCTCCCTCTCCCTTCCTCTCTCTAATATCAATAAGGAAAAAAAAGAACAGCCAAAGGAATACAGAATGAGAGAAAATATTTGCAAATCATATATTTGATAAGTAATTATTATCCATAATATGGAAAGAGTCCTATAATTCAACCACAAAAAAATGAACAACCCAATTCAAAAATGGGCAAAAGACTTGAATAAACATTTGTCCAAAGAAGATATATGAATGGCCAATTAGCACATGAAAGACTCTCAACATAACTATTTATTAAGGAAATGCAAGTCAAAAATCAAAATGAAATACCAATCTCATACTCATAGGGATGGCTACTATTAAAAAATAAATAACAATGTTGGCAAGAATGTGGAGAAATTGAAATCCTCATGCATTGTTGATGGAAATGTAAAATGGTACAGCTGCTGTGGAAAACAGTACTGGCAGTTACTCAAAGTTAAACATAGAGTTACCATATGATCCAGCAATTCCACTTGTGGGTATAGTCAAAAGACTTGAAAGCAGGATCTTTAAGAGAGATTTGTATACCTAAGTTAACAGCAGCATTATTCACAATAGCTAAAATGTGGAAACAACCTAAATGTCCACCAACAGATAAATGGATAAGCAAAATATGGTATATACATACAACGGAATATTATTCAGCCTTAAAAAGGAAATTACATATGCTACAACATGGATAAACCTCAGCAAAACTTGTTAAGTGAAATAAGCCAGTCACTAAAAGACAAATAACTGTATGATTACACTTACATGTGGTACCTAGAGCAGTCAAATTCATAGAGCCAGAAAGTAGAATGGTGGTTACCAGGGGGTGGGGGGTTAGGAGAAATAAGGAGTTTTTGTTTAATAGAAACAGAATTTCAGTTCGGCAATATGAAGAGTTCTAGAGATAGATGGTTGTGATGTTTGCACAATGATAAAAATGTACTTGATATCACTTAACAGTACAATTAAAAATGGTCAAGATGAGCCCTGGTTGGTTTGGCTCAGCTGTTAGAATGATGGAAGAGTCTCGGGTTCGATTCCTGGTCAATGGCACAGACCTCGGTTGCAGTTTCGATCTTAGCCCCAGTCAGGGTTGTGCAGGAAGCAATCAATTGATGTGTCTTTCTCACATCGATGTGTCTATCTGTCTGTGTGTCTATCTCTCTCTCTCCCTCCATTCACCCCTCCCACTCTATCTAACAACAACAAAAAATCGATGGAAAAATATCCTCAGGTAAGGATTAAAAAATAAAATATAATAAAATAAAAACGGTCACGATGAGCCATGGCCAGTGTTGCTCAGTGGTTAGAGCGTCAGCCCACACACCAAAAGGTCACCAGTTTGATTCCCAGTCAAGAGCACGTACCTGGGTTGCAGGTTCGGTCTCCAGCCCCAATCCCCAGCCCCAGTGGGGGCAACGTGCAGGAAGGCAAGCAATCAATGTTTTTCTCCCCCTTCCTCCCTCCCTTCCACTCTTTCTTAAAATCAGTAGAAAAAATATCCTCAGGTGAGAATTAACAAACAAACAAAAAAATGGTCAAGATGATAAATTTTATGTTGTATGTATACCAAAATTTTAAGAAACTGAAAGAAAAATAAAAGGCAGCCAAAAGAAAGCAACCACACATTATGTATAGAAAGATAAAGATAAGAATGACAGTCAACTTCTCATTGGAAACAAGAAGACAGAAGACAGAATTTAAAGAAAAATACTATCAACTTAGAGTTCTATAACCAGTAAAAATACCTTCTGTAAATCAAGACAAATTAGACTTTTTCAGACATGAAATGCTGAAAGGATTCATCACCAGCAAACCTGCACCACAGCAATGTTAAAAGAAATTCCTTCATTCAGAAGGAAAATGTACCACATATAAATCTGGAACTATACGAAAAAATAAAGAGCACTGAAAATGGTAAATACACATACAGTAATTGACAGAGGCTTTTATTATAATGAGATAGTGGATGCATCTACATTATTAAAATAAAGGGGGAAAAAGCAATAACAAGAATTTTCATCATACATA